GTAGTAATATTGAGTTAGGTAATAATTAATTATGTGCATATTACTAGTGAATATCAGCTAAAGTGCGATATTGATTTGCATTTCTACTTGTCGTTTAATTATGTTAGATAATTCATAATTATTTTTTTTCCCCTTATCTCTGTTAAAGTTATTTAATTAATAGTAGTGAAATAGAAATAATCGAAAATTTTTTATTTAAAAAAGTGGAATATCTCTTGAATAATGGTTTTATTATTTATTAGTAAAAGTAAGATTATCATTTTTGATTAGATCTGTCGCTTGATAAAGGAGCCATTTAGTGATAGAAAAGAAAAGAAAGGAAAGGGTCGCCAGTACCATGCGTATTTTTATACGTATTTTGACAAGTTTCCTCTTGTCGTGAGCAAAAGTCGAACCGTTTATTGAACCATTATCCATTCTGTTTTCCTAATAACAGTAGATTGAATAGAATGAATTTTATAAAAAGCGATTTTTTTGTTAAACCGCTAGTTAGCACCAAAAGTTTCTCATTTAATTTTTAAAAAAAGTGTTGGATTTCGAATAATTTTATTGAAAGGAAAATACGTTGAAAAATTTAATTAGCTAGCGATTTGTATTCACCATTTCTGATTAGCTTTCACTTTTAAAATGAGAATTTTTCTTCCAAGAAGAGTCACTTGGCGCATAGAAGCGCTTCATAGATCGTTAATTTAGTTTCTTCATTTTGTCGAAAAGCATGGACCTTTTGCCAGCAATGTCTGCTTAGGGCACCACAGGAAATTTGTGAAACTCCTCGGGCAACCAGCATTGAAACCATCTAAGCCTTATTCTTGTTAAACGTCACTGCAGGAGTCTCATACGAGGGTTGCCACTATAATAAAGGTTTTGGTCCTTAGCAGCAACAAAGTCGAAATCTAATACTTATAAAGAGAAATTAAGTAAGTAAGAAAGCAAAAGCATATTTTCATATCCCACATTAATCATTGACGTATTAATCATTGATATATTTCTCAGCAAGCCTTTCTGATATTCTTATTCTGGTATTCTTAAAAATTCTGCATTAGTATATAATTCTACATTTTATTCTGCATATAGTTCTATATTTTCACGCTCTTTTCACATAATTTCAAAATAATAGTTCCAATAATTGCAAATAACTACTTTTTTCTTTTTCGGAAAAAAATTTCGTCTGAAAAGTTCAGAGATGATTTTGACGTTTTTTTAAAAAACATCTCTTGATTTTTTATTTTTTATTTTTATAAACGGTATATTTTAAAATAACTGAATCGAAGTGGATTAAAATGATTGGTTCGTTTAAAATTTAAAGGAAAAAAATTATTTAATAAATTATTTTATTTAATAAGCAATTTAAAAAATAAATTATTTTAATTAATAGGCAAATGGCTCAGCGCTCACCATTTCTAGTTAAACCCGCCTTACTGGCTGTTAGTACGCCTGAAATTTTAGTTACTTGATGATAGAAATTTTAATACTTTTATCGTGAGACTCGAATTGGCACCTATCTATTGCCTGTCAGTGCGATTCTCTAAAGCCACTGATCCATTCGCCTTTTCTCTTCGTATTTTCAAGGATATTAAAGGAATGTTTGAAATGTGCAGAAAAGAAGTATCTACATGGGTCAGTTTCCAAAATTTTTTTTTCCAGTGGAATGAATAGTTTAAAAAATATTTAATTTGCTCTGCAGTGATTGGAGTAATTTCGTTGTATGAACAATAAAATAAAATAAAAATTTTTCAGGAATGAAACCGGTCGAAAACAACTTTTTAAAAATTATCATCGAATTTCACAATTATGATTGAATTGAAAATGAAATGAATTGATTTCGATCATTTCCTTCGATCACTCAATCGATCTATCAATTCGTAAATTTTGTTTATTTTCCGAATCGTTTTTTCCATTTTATTGAAATTCCAAAAAAAATTTGCACGAAAATGTGATTTTGCACATTTTTTTAAAACGGTTCCTGTGTTACATTTGTATTTACATGATATTTATATAATTAATTATATTTGCATGTGTATTTTCATTCCATTAATAATTTTCTCCTTAGTTGTTAGTTAGCTAGTTTTTGTGTATATATGTCGGATTGTGTCCATAGGGAAATGATTTTTCTGCTAAATCTCGGCTTCTCATTATTAAATGCTGAAGAATTCGGTAGTTCGTTGCTACGAATGAATTTTTCGAAGAAATAATTAGTATCATCAAGTATGAAAGTGAGTTGTCGTCGATTGTCGTTATGGTTCAACAAGCGTCAATTATAGAATTTCGTCTTTGTGGTTGGTCCTTTCTAATTTTGCCATAGCAACCCGAATCATTCTCGGTTGAAAAGCGAAAAAATTTTACGCTTTCGTTATCGATGAGGAGGGAGGGCTTTTAATTTGTCCTTTCTAGAAATTTTTTACTCCATTTTTTTGTCTGTGTCCATCTTTGAATGACATAATTTCGTTTTTTTCATTTTTCTTATCTTTCTTTTCTTTATATCTTCTTAGCTTTGTTTCCTTGTTTTCTTGGTTATTTAAACATTTTAATAGACGACTTGATACTTTGAAATTTGTCGACTTTTTTATCAATTTTTTGTGCTGAAAGAATATTTAATATTGAGAAGTACCAAGAAGATCGATTTTTTTGATCATATAATCTCCATTTTTTTTCACATTTAATAGATGCAAGAATGTTTTAAAATTTTAATTTTTTCCAATTCCCTTTTTTTAGCTATTACTGTTCTTTATTAATGGTTATATCGTATACGATAATGCGATAGTATCAATAATAGTTGAATTAATAGTAATAATGTATGTAACAAACTATATCATATTATTAAAGCGGAAATAGCTATCAGATTGTATCGGTATTAATTTAGTTATTCAATAGAAATTTCATTAATATGAATCGAATGAATGAAAATGGTGAAATTTAAAAAAGGCGAAATATGGCTATTGTTTTCTTATACTATCAAAGATGATTAATAATGATTAAAATTAATAATTTCAGACAAAAAAAGCTATTCTTAATTCGCAGCATTAAAATAATATTTTGCGACAATAACATAACCAAGCGAAAATGGAGAATCGACACGAAGCGCATGATGATAATATTACCCATTGTATGGGATAATGGAAATAAATTTGATAAAACCGAATGCATACTGTTCGTTTAGGCAGGAATAGCGGCGTGGATAGTATATACCTTCGATAATAATGAATTTCCCATTTTTAAGTTTATTTTTTGCAAAAAAATTCATTATTTAAAAAAAAAATTTTTTGTGAATTTTTTAAAGGTTTTATCGAAATTGGCAGATAAATGTGTTTTACTACAATTTTTATGAATTGAATTGTACTTTTTTTGGCTTATCGAGGAATTAAATTTTGTTAGAAAACATGGGAATTGAATTTTGTGAAAAGAAAATGTCGATATCATTTCATTTTTTTTTCGTTTTTTTTTTGAAGTTTTTAAAATTATTAATAAAAATTATAGTAAAGTTTAGAATTTAGAATTTTAATAATGAAGGAATGAATGAATAGATTTTATTAAAATTTTAGTGGAGAAATTCAGTGGATTTAAATTGTTTCAACGTAGATTTTATTGTATTTTCGTGAAATTTATTAGTGATAAGGATTATTAATCTTTATGATAACGAATTTTATGGGTATTATCATTACTATAACGTATTTATGTCCTTCCCATTTTCCATTTTGGAAAAACTTTTGCGTTTTTATGATGATAATTTTTATCATTCAATATAATATCACTTGTATTCGTATCATCCTTATCGTCTATATTTAATATTTCACTTGTTTTAACTTGCATTTATGTGGTTTTTCTTGTTAATATAGAAGCGATTACCACTGCCTTACCCAGTGCTGTATGATATGATGCTTTTTATCGATGTTACCAATTATAGGTTTTTCTTATAGCTTGGGATGACCTGTACGTCCTGTTAGGAATAGATTTATATATTCCCATTGTGACGACATTTCCTCTCCTCTTTAAGTAATTTTTTTTTTGTACAACAACAACCGATTTGGAACGAAAATAAAAAATAATTTTAATCGAAGACAAGAAAACGAGCGCTCGCAAGCCTTCGATAATAAATCATTTTGAATCTCGTAGAAATTTTTCGTTTTTCCTTTTTTTGTAATTGCGCATTCAAAAGAATTTACGTATGCAGTCGATGATGTTTAATATTTATTGAAAACTAGATGATAAGCGAATGAATTTTTGCTTTCATTCATGTTCCATTTAATCATTAAAAAAAATTTAGAATGATTTATTGATGTGGTTTAAACGATTGATTATAATTAGCATTCATTATTTTTTGATAAGATTTGCTTCTCTACTGGCTGCCAGGGAGGAGTTACTTAGGGATCATCCCAGCTTTTTTCTTCTGAGCGATGGTTGAAGCGTTAAGCAGTAACTCTCAGTACTTCTATAACTGAAAAATATTTGTTAAAGAATAGTTAAAAGGATGATAAGTGTAAGCGCTGATAAGCGTTGAATGATAAGTGTAAATAAACTTTCTCGTTAAATTCGTTAAATTTTTGTCGTTAGTCGTTGCATCGTTGTTTTTTTATAATTGTCTATTGAAAAAAAGTATGAATTAATTATTATTAATTTATATAAATAAATAGCTTTTTTTAAGATTATTTTTGACGACCAAGAAACAAAAGAGGAATAAAAAAAGGACGAGGAAAAGATAAAATCGCTTAGCAGCAACGAAAAAGAAGAGGAAGAAGAAAAGGAAAGAAGGAAAGTGGTATTTTTATCCAAATGGACTTTTATTATACAAAACAAAGGATTTCACAACGAAGGAATTTATTCTTTTTTATCACTACTATTAACTACTTGTTCAACGAGATCTCGAAATAATTACTATTAATCTTCTTATCAGTATCGTTTTTCTTTTTTGCTATTTTAATCGCCTTGAGTTTCGCTCGTTGATAAAACGCCGATTTTTATTAGTGCATTTCTTTAATACTATTCTTTAATACTACAGTTCTTCAATTCTTCAGTTTCGATTAGATTTTGGAAATTTTCAATTAACTCAACGGAAAAAAAAAGAAATTAGAATCATCAACTGAAAGATGTCCTCAGAACGAAATTCAGCGAATTTATTGACGGATGATGGAACACCAGCATCTAGTTCTTCCAGTCGCTATTTCCGTACAAACGGTCGATTTATTTTAAATAATAATGATGTTCCTGGGCCATCACAGCAAAAACAGCAGCAACAGTCAACTTCGACAAGTGGTGGAGGAGCAGTATCAAGTGAAGCTTTTCTTCATTCGAACTCGTCACCGAATGAGCAAGATTCGAGTGCAATGGAATGTGATGATATCGGTCCTATTTCTAGGGATCGATGTAATACATGGCCTTTACGACGACCACAAATTGATATTAATCCTCAGACTAGTCCATTAATTCATGAGCGAATTCCTGAAGAAGAAAATGAGTAAGTTATTTTCCATTTTCTTTATTATACAAATATTTTTTAAAAAACTTTTCATCATTGTTTGAAAGTATGGAAATGAAAAATTATTAAAATTTTCGTTCAGTATTTATGGTAGTTCGGAAAATATGTCCAATAGTCGATTATGTTCAAATGTGACAGTTGGGATGGTCGCATCGCCTCCTGATGTTGGCACTTATTCTCCTGGGTAGTTTCTAATTGTTCAATGTTTTTTTCTCCGAAATTTTAGATATTCTGTTTCTTTAAAGATGCTTTTTTTCCCTCGATCCACTTTATTCTATAACATTTTGATTTTATTCGTTTTTCTCAGATAAACAGTTCTAGGTTGTCACCTCCCTTAACAAGTTCTGGGAGTAATTCTGGCCAATTATCGGCACCCAATGTAGATTCCTCTGATACGGGAAGTGGCATCAGTGGCTCGAAAAAATCAACAACACGTCGGAATGCTTGGGGAAATATGTCCTATGCAGATCTCATTACACAAGCCATCCTTAGCTCACCAGATAAGCGGCTTACTTTATCTCAAGGTATGTTTAACAACTGTTTGCTTAAATTTCTCGGATTCATATATATGAAAAACTTCTCATTGATTTTTAAACTTTTCATGATTTCTTTTTTCTTCGAATTCGTCCAGCCAAACCATAAATGATGAGCGCTGTTAAAAGAAGAAGAGAGTTAGATTATCTATGCATTCCTTCACTGAAATTTGCAGTTTATGAATGGATGGTGCAAAATGTACCTTACTTTAGAGACAAAGGTGATTCAAACAGCTCAGCAGGTTGGAAAGTAAGAATTTTCTTCTTTTTTTTTTCATTTATATCATGTTTTTATGAGAAATGAATAGGAAGCTTATAAGTTTTTGCCGAAAAATCAGTTTGAATTCTTTGGTTTTTTTGACCATCTATATTCAATGAGAATTAGTGCGAGAAATATTTTTTTATAAATATAAGTTTTTCAGAACTCCATTCGGCACAATCTTTCTTTACACAGTCGTTTCACTCGTCTTCAAAACGAAGGCGCAGGAAAAAGTTCTTGGTGGGTTATTAATCCGGATGCAAAACCTGGTAGAAGCCCAAGACGTCCTCGGTCCAGCACGTTTGATACATCTTCAAAGGTTTTTTTGAATAAATTTGAATTTCTTTTGATCGTAATTTTTTAAAAGTTCTTTTTCGATGTTAATTTTGAATAGTTCATTTAATTTTTATCCTTAATACCATTCATAAATCTTTTGGGTCGAATATGCCTATAATTTATAATTTATTCCTTTGCTATTCAAATTTAATCTTTATTCTGTGGTGAATTTCATATCAATATTTCAGTTGCTATTTTTATCAAAGCAATTAATGAATGCAATCTTGTAGGCTATAATGGAAAAGAAACGGAGAGGTGCAAAGAAAAAGGCACTAGAACTTCGTGAATCGGGTATGCATGCGCTGAGTACCAGTTCTTCTCAGGTTTATTTCTATATTTCAATTTCAAATCAGAGATCTTGAAGTGAGGAATGAAAGAATAATTTTGTGATTTTTTATTCTTTTAAATTATAGGCCTCTGTTATCAGTCGCGAATTATATGCTGAAACGGATGACAATTTGTCAACTTATTCGCTGTACAGGTGAAGTTCCGTAAAACATCATTTGTTTTCATTTAATTATAAGCTATTGATTGTTTATCTTTGTTTACTGAAAAATAGTTTATTTTGAAAAAAAGTAATGGTTATTTCAAGTCAATTTTTTATTTTTAGACCTCGAGAACTATCTAGAAATCTTACTCCATCAACCTTATCAATCCCTGTTTCACAGTCCGAAAATTTCGATGATTATGAATTTCCACAGTTTCTTGATAGTGGCCATATACCATCTGATTTGGTAGATCGAACTCGGCAGGTAATGGCAGTTTTCAGTTAATTTTGCTTCATCCATGTGGTTATGTTTTCAAGGAAATATTTAAATATTGTAGATGAATGTTAATCAGGAAGTATTTCATCATGCGCTAAGCAGTTCGCTGGCAAACGGTACTGGCGTTACTTCACCTGCTTCTCTATCGCAGCATTTGATATCTGATCAAACCACCGGTGATGTTGAAGTATGTTTTTTATTTTTTATGATGAATTTAAATTCTTCTAATTTTATTTTGATTCATTTTTTTAGCAATATTTTAGATTCTATTTTCTTTAGATTAGATATTTTAGATATTAATTTTTCTTTCAATCGCTATATCCAGTTTTTTTATGCTAAGAAAAATTTAGCCTGAAACTGATGGTGGTGAAACAGCACCATCGTATCTGGATATCAGTGATAGATACGGAGGTAGTAATGCGCAAATGCGCCTTCAACTTGCTGGAAATTCGGTCAGAGTTCAAAATCCATCTGCGTAAGTTTTGTTGCTAATTAAGCGATTTATTTCATTATTTATGATGAAGATTCATTATTTATTTATGATGAGAAGATTATTTATGATCTTGGTTATTTTTGCTGCGTTTATTTTTTCTTTTACAGAGTTTCGTACGGTAGTATGTTTCCGTTAAATCAGCCATCGTTGCATGGTTGGGGACAACCCGGTGATCATTTTATTCATACTATTCATCATCAAATGAATAATTCGGCTCAACAGAATCAGTGTTCGGCAGCTTTGCCATCAGATTTACAAAATCTATCAATACCAGATTTTGGTAGCGATCCAGAAACGATTTATCGTAATGATTTAGGAAATGGTTCGATGCCAACTTTTGATAATGTTAATGTCATGTGACCTGTGTTTCTCGTTTTTTTGGAAGAAAGCGGAGTCTAATTCGATGATAACGATGCAAAGCATCATTTCTTTTCTTTTTTACTTCAAATAAGCACGGGTTTTAATGCTTTTGTTTGGTTATTGACAAAATTTTTCGTTTTCATCATTAACATTTAACATTTAGCTTATCATAATTAGAAAAGTTATGTGAAGGACTATTTTAATTGGTAATTACAATTACCAAATCTTCTTACATTCGATTTATTGGTAATATAATGAATGTTATTCAATGTTTAAAAAAGTGAGGAATCATTTATTTCATTGATTCTTTGTTGATAATGTTATCCTTGAAATGCGATATTTGCTTTAGCAACAGGTGAACTTGTAAACAATTTTTCAGTAGATAATTGAAAAATTTTTGAATCGTATTTTAAGGAATATAAGAGTAGAAATATGTGTAGAGTTTTTTTATAAGAAGAAATCTTCGTGCCATTTATTTTGCTCTTTTTTCATTGTTCTTGCTTACCTCGAACCATATTATGTGGTCGTTTAATTTTTTTTGTTAGGCTATGTGTAGTAGTTGAGCATTTTTAAAGCATTCAATATGAATTACTAATAATAATTACTAATAATATAAGATAATTAGTGACTAGTAGAGCCAACCAGTGTGTTATCCTTATTGTGCTGTTGTTCCTATGTAAATATATATATATATATATATACAATGTCGATTCGTTAAATCAGGTGTGTTTCCTAATTTTTTCCTTTTTTTAAATTCTCAGTTATTTTTTTAAAAATTTTTTGTTAAAAATATGTGAAAGAACCGTTCCTACCTCGCTGCATTCAATTATTTTTTTATGAGTTTTTTCATTTTTTCGTACCAATTTTATTAATAATTATATGAATTTTTTTATTGTGGATCGTGTTACAATTATATTTTTAAATATTGTTATTTTTTAAAATTTTAATATAAAAAGTTTTAAAATGATGGGTGGATAATAATTTTTCTCGTAATATTTTTGTCAATTATCAAGTGGGTCCTATGGATCTTTTCTATGTCGGAAAAATATAGTGGATTTAGAAAAGAAAAAGGGATCTTTTTCAAAATTAATCCATAGATGGTGCAATAAATTTTAACGAATCGTTGCCACCAAGAGAATTTTATTTTTTGGGAGTTTTAAATTGGTGATTGATTTGATCTAGTTCAGTGAAATTTCAGTCTGCTTGAAGGGTTTGCTGTTTTTTTGCTAGGGGATTTTCTGCGAAAAAAAAGTTGTGAGAAAATAGAAAATTCTCAACGGTGGACATCAATCAAATTGTATGAAATTTTTTGCGGATAATTTTGTGCAGTTTGGTATGAACGTTTTTTTATTGCTGATGGCATTTTTTGTAATATCTAATATATTCGATAATTTCTTACCTCGAAAATTAGGAATACCTTTTTTTAAATTTTTATTATTGTTGCGCTATTAATTGTACTTATTTTTTGTTATTGACGAATCGCTAGCAGTTAGTTTCAAATTTTCCATGATTTCTGGACAATGAAGCGGCCGATTTTTAGTTGTGGATTATCCAGAAATCAAGGTATTGAACCGTTTTTTTAAAAAAAATTGTCATCTCAGCTAAAATTTTGATTTAGTTTTGTTATAATGGAAACAGGTATATAAGTCAATATTCGAATCTGCATTTTTTCAAATATTTCTTTACCTTGTTGATCTAGTGTTTATTCTTTCGTGGAATTCTTTGTACTATTTTCTTTACTTTAGTGGCAAAAAAGGTTTTTCTTCCTATATGGGTAAATAAGTAATGTAACATTTGTTGGAATAGCAGTTTTCCTCTTTTATTTTCATTTTTTTTGAAAATGGTATACGTGTTTGAATTGAAACTAATTTTAAGAGATTTTTAAAGGATTTTTTTTTAATAATGCAGAAATTTTTTATAATATAAAACCTCAATTACGGAATGAATATGCAAGCTATTTTTTTCTAATTTTTGTTAAATCAATTTCTCAGCGCTGGTACTTTTCTTTATATTCAGGTTTCAGCTCTACTGCTAATAACTTGTTGCTGCTGCTGTTGCTGCTGATTTATAGTCGTCAATTTGTTAATTAATTTGGTTAGACTGTAATTAGAAATTTATAATCAAGTTAGAGGAGAGACGAAAATGGATTTTCTTCAATTAATTTAATAATTAAAATGAGATGTTTTTTTATTTTCTTAAAGTGTTGATTTGTTTATTTTTCTCATTTTTTGTCCATTTTTTTGACGTTATTATATGTACTTTATGGAATATTTTCCTGAAGTTACACGGTCAATTCCCGGATGATCCTGGAAAACGGCGATTTAAATGATTTGAGGTAAAAGTAAAAGTTCTTTGCAAGTTTAGATCGTGTAATGGTCGTCATTTTTTATTTTACCGTTGTAATTGGCAATGTTTTTTTCGATGAAATAATATGAATAAATCCTATTGATGAAGAAAACAACGCAACAATCGTCAAAAAACGTTGCTTTTTATGTTTTGTATACAAATTCGGCTAAGATTTCTTAATAAAGAATTCAACTAAAGTTCCATTGAGAATTACGGCAGAAGGTCAAAGTGGGCCAAAATCCTTCGGGTCTCTAAGAGAGGATTGTGAACAAGGAGGACATCGCACAAGCAAATTTGAATTTCGTTAATACAAATGAGCAATCGCTTTGCTTATTCTGCAGTTTCACATTTTCCATTTTTTTATAAGATTTTGCTGAAAATTTTGAAGCGAACCTTCGTCGTATTACGTATGCAAATGCAAAGATTGCTTTACAAGAAGTACGTGCAAGAATTACAAATTTCTGTAGAAAAATGTATTTTACAGACGCGGCGTATATTTTGGCAAATAATCTCAATCTGCGGTGTGTATTTCCACGTGGAAATATCGGTGGACATATTGCTTTTCCCGAGAAGTTTTAAGCGCAGAATGGTGCAACACAAGGTTTACTTATTGTCAGTATGCGGTTGCACGAAGTCGAAAGTACCACCTCAGCGCAATTGCAAATGTAAGGAGGTCTCTGATGCGAGTCGCAAAGTGGGGTAGAAGAGAGTGAGCGCATTTTTGAGACTGAAATTCGTGTTTTGAGTGAAAATCCTTTTCCCTTTTTACTATTGCCCTGAGGAATTAAGCTCAATGTGGTGCATATGTTGGTCTTTGCAAGATTTCCGATTCTTGCAATTTCAATGCAATCCCATAGATATGGTCGAAATTTTTAATTCGGAGTGGAATCACTGTGTTCATCGTGAATTATTCACATTTCTTTAAAATACAACAGCGAAATCTCTGTTTTTGTTAATTTTCACAGATATGAAAATTATCAATAAAATATTTTTTGTTGATCGAAGAATATTAATTTTCACACTAAAAAAGTTGCTACAAGAAATAAATCGATGCAAATGGCAGCACAGAATAAAAAAGTAAAAGTCAGGAAGAAACAGGCAGTTAGTTTCGGCAGATTTCCGGGCAATTTGACGGTTCACCGCTTACAACAAGCATTTCCATTAGCGCAAGGCGAATGGCCCGATATGCAGTAACATTGCATATTTAATAATTGTATGCATAACTGAAAAATTATTAATTTAAAATTAAATTTAAAGGAAGGGTTTTTATAAATTCTTCATGATAAAGTATTTTGTTGCATAGATTATTATTACGAAGCATCTTTTGGAAAAGCGATTATTTTGTTAGAAGAGAATTAATTTATTAGTGGTTAGAATCGGATTAGCAAATGTGCTTAGGAATGCACTGCCTACTGAAGTAAAACTCGCAAGCCAAAAGTCCGCTGAGGAGGAGAATAGAGGCGAGTCTCGAACATTGCCCAGATTTCATGCGGCCCTCGCTAAAGCACCTAAATTCAACCCACACTGCCCTATGGTGAATTAACACCGCCGTGCCATTTTGGCAAGCTGCAGAGATTGTCAATTCATTTCACTTTAAGTACTAATGGCCTATACTAGTGAAATAAAAAAAGCTAATGAAATAAAGACCAACCATGAAAAAGGGGTATGCAATATATATTTAAGTTTAACTTGTCTTTTGAAGTTTGAATATTTATTTAATAGAAGTGCAAAAAAAAAAATTCATCGGATTAAAATAAATGGAAATGGCTTTTATGGGATGTCAAACAAATATTTCGGCGAACATTAATTTGAGGGACAAAGTGAAACTATAATTATGGTTCTGTGATTATCCCAAGTTTTTGCTTCCAATCTAATCCACATAACAATTGCCACAAAAATATAAAACAGAGAATTTAACTTTGGGGATGTAGAGGAATTCGGAAATAGTCCTTTGCATGCCTACCTGTATTCCACAGTTAGCGCAACGCACTTCTTCTGTAGGTGGCATTAGTGGTGGTGTAGGTGGTGGTGGTTCCGGAGAGGTTTCTTCCGGTGGAAAAAATGGAGTTGGGAATACGGGTGGTTCAGCTGGCTCTATGGGTTGCGTGCATGGACATTGTTGTTCAACTTGCGGACATGAACAATGAATTTGAAATATAAGCTGCATACAGTTACATGGCTGAGAACACAGGCATCGTTTTTGTCGAGGCTTTAGCTTCAACTCTTCGCTCTGAAATTGATCGAATCCAAATTAATGGATTTTTTGCTAAAACATATCTACTAGCAATTTTTAAATCTACGCTTATTTTTACCAGTGCTTTTCTTTATATGATAATGCTTGACGAATGGACTCACGAAGGACTTCTAATTCGATTTTTCAAATACAATTAAAAAATTGAACAACGAGAAAAAAGTGGTTTTAATTTTATCATTTTAAATATATTTGCTTCAAACATTCCCATTGCATTTTTTATTAATAATTTGTAAAATGCTACATCAAAAAGTGGAAAGCAATTATATATCAAAAGGCTTCATTTGCGATTGGTTATAAGTACCAAATTATTTTGCAATTATTGAATTTTAATGTTGTAATTAGTGCATCCATACGAGATTAGCAGATTCGGAATCTAATTTTAATAAACGGAGATATTTTATGGAATTGAAATTCTCTCAAAAGCAAAAGCAAAATTTTCATTTATCCCACTGGAAAATAATCGTAGGTCGTAGTTCATAAAAATAAAATATCAAAAGCAGTAAGGTATAGATGCGATAAAGAAAAAGTTATTTATTGTTATAAAAATGCACCTGAATAGAATAAAAAAGAAAGACGATAAGCAACAAGACGCCTTTGCCGAAGCACATAGATGATGGAAATGGAACGTTGAAATGAAATCAAGTCGAATTTATATCGTGTTTTAGTTGGCAAACACAAGTGCTTTTCGAAACCGACTGGACCTCAACCAATCTCAACTGAGTTAAAAACGACAATAGGGAATTAAAAAGAATTTTTCCCAGGTTCGAAATTAATCACTTAGTAAACATCAAGTTCATAAAGCAGTAACGAGTAACACTTTCAACATGCAACTAATTTTATTTTAGGCATCACTAAAGGGATTGAGCATTAAGTTCATGCAATTCTTTAGCAAAGCCAAAAAAGAAAATTTTCCAAAATTGTTCTTGAAAGGATTAGTGAAGCAATTTTATGCCAAAACGAATTTAGATTCAAGGCTAAGATGGTCGAAACGATTGAAATTGTCTCCAAAGCATAATTTTCATTCATCCCATTGGAAAAAATAATCGGAGGTCATAGTTCAAATAAATAAATATGAAAAGCAATAAGATTAAGGTCAATAGTTATCATTCATCCGATTCCTGCAGTAAACCTACCATCAAAAGTGAAATCCAGTTATTGTTGCGGATCTATTATCTTCTATCCACATATGGTTCTCTGGCGAATAATTCTTCCTTTAACAGCCGGTGGAACGAATTTGACTCGAGCTCGTTTCTTCTTTAGGCTGAGAAGTTCTTCAATTCCAAAAGCCTCAAAATAGTTGGAAATAAGCAATTAGGCTTCTTCCATTGGCTAAGGCTAGAAATTTTCGCGAGGAATCAATTGGCGACAGAAGTACATCACTCATCACTCGGTTTAAAATTCTCACATAAACACAATGGAAACATGAAATACTATCATTTATATCAGTTCTTTTAACGGAAAGTATTCCACAGATTCTAAAAGCGCAGTGGATGAAACCAAATTATCACAGTGAGAATTTTTTTCTGCATTGCCGCTATTCAGCGATGGGCCATGTTAGAGCCATAGGCAATAAGCGAAGTTAATGCTTGGATTTAGATGAAGTTCGAGCCCAGTTCGGGCATAATAAATAAATATGAGAAAGCCGAAAGTAGTCTCTTTTTCTTTCGTAAATCTCTCGAATTGTATGCTCTATCAGGGGCCTCATAATTTACATTTTGCTTCATTGTGATGCAGTCATGTATAATCAATTAAAATATTCACTATTTTCAGTCTTCATCAATTCATATTTCTTCGATTGGTATTCCAACGCGGCGGGCAGTCAGTCAGTTTGCAGTTCACATTTGCCTGTCCTATTTTCTGAATCTTTTTTTACTTCTCTTTTCCGTCAAAAAGTCCCATTTTTTGTCGCATTTTTGTCCCGTTGTGGATAAAATAACTGAAACTGTACGCTCAGCGTATACTTCGAAATCATTTTTAAGCGAATTATGACCGAATAGTTTGTTTGTGAATTAGTTTTAAAATTTTGCATTGAAATTGCATGTTCGTCAGGCGAAATTCTGCGGAATGATTCAGTGAATACGAAGCAAAGACAAAATGTGACGAGTTTTCAAAAATTTTTGTCAAAAATGCGGATCTCCATGATCGTTTATAAAAATTTAGGATTTCCCAAATCCATAATAGTGATTGCATGTGGTAAGCGCTAATCATTCAGTTGTCCGAGTGTCTCCGTATTACAGTAAAATCCAACTGTATTTCCTCACTTCCTCACTTTTTGTATAGCTCTCCTAGGAATTGATCTAACTTGCCGAAAAAAAGCGAATTAAAAATCCAATTTCGTTTGGGCTAAAATATTCGAAAAAATAAAGCCAAATTGATTTTTTCGGCTTTTAATCAATCGAAGAATTTTTCCGATTATTTTTTAATATAGAAATTAAAAATATAATAATAAATTATTTCATATATAATTAGGCTTAGGAGAGAAGATGGTGCATAGAACACTTTTTATGAACGATTCTGGCTTATTCCGATTCGAATTGCATGCTTCCTCGTTGGCGAGAACATCAACAAAATGTCAACAAATCTATTTTTGCATTATATAAAATCCCACAAGAAATGAAACAGTTGGAAATATATATACTATATTTTCTCAAAACATTCTTTGAACTGCAATATTACAATGTTTATTGTTTTTTTTTACAGATTTACTTTACTAAATAAATTTACTAATTTTAAACTAATTTAATTTTTAGTGGGAGTAAAACTTAAGTTTTTGTTGGTCTATCTGAAAATTAAACATAAAATTTTAATCTTAAACTAAGCATTAATCAAGTTATTTTTTTAACTGGATACACCAAATTCCGTTTATTTATTTATTTAAAAACCGTTTTATTATTTATTTTCTGAAATAGAATCCACATTTGAGTGCGAAATTGTTCAACTTACGGCTTATCCCTCACTATTACATTTATTTGATGAATGTTGAAAACGCTCTGATCCGCTTAATCATTTGTAGCTCGCATCATTGCTGCTTTGATTGCCTTCACTCGCGGCTAGAGGGAAATTTCTTCAAGCCTCCCGTCGCGATGCAGCAGATTTCCAAGCCTAATGATTGCTTCTCTTCTAAAGCAGCCACTTTTCATAGTATTCATAATATTCGTTATGGACTTAATCTTCGATAATTAATTGATTTACAATATGATTTTATAACAGAAATATGAAGAATCAAACAAGGAAGTTATTCCAGTTCTCTTCTTCTTTGAATGTTTGCCGGGAAACAATCTGAGTAAATGTTAAATAAAGGAGAGAAGAATTATTATTTGCCTCAAAACTATTTTATTTTCAAGGAATGATGGTTTCAAGCCTTCAGATGCATCCAAGTAAACAAAAATCATCCTGTAGGCCTAGAAATGCAGTATTTTAATTTTAATTTTATAAAAAATATTTCGATATTTTTATACTTATAAAACATTTTTTAAATGTCGAATTCATGTTTTTTCCGCAATTGAATCGACATCAATTTTTTTCCTTGCTTTTTTTGCAATAAAGCGAACATAATATTCTCCAGTCGGCTTGATAATATTGTTTGGTACAGTATCATGAGAATCTATAATTTTTTTAGATTAATATAGGTGCGAAAAATACGGTAAACATTTATTACTTTAGGTCCTTTAAAATCAATTTTTGATGATCTGTTAATAGAATAGAAGAAATCAATTCAAAAGTAAACGATGCAAAAAAGGTTTTTCAGGACTTTTTAGTGATGCAGTCGAGGGGAATATTTTAGTTCAATGACAACGTTAATTGATCGTAAGTATATGTAGGATTTATTCTGAATTTTAAGATTCAATGAAATCCTACAGCATATCCTGCAAGATTGACCGATTTATGGCTAATATTCATAGAGAATTTAATTTAAAAAATTCAGGAAAGAGTCAAGTATTATTTACTTTTTTTATTAATCTTGATTTGGTCAGTACAAATATTTGCTACAAATGCTGAAAGACTAGAATTCTGTAGCACTTGAAAATTCATAGAATATGATTTCAGCATAAACTGGTCATGGTTTTTTATCAACAAGTAGTCGACTTCGTTTTTTTCCCCGAATTCACGAATCTAGTATCGAAATTTTTAAAATTGAAAATATAATAATATCTCACTTTGCAGAAAGTAAATATTTGTAAAAGGTCCAGTACTCAGAAAAGCTATTCATATAAGTATATATTCGAATAATTGCTCGAATAGGCAGGCTTAATGCATTGAATCGCTTTTGGAAAATATAAATGATGCGAAGATTCCTTGTTGTTCTCAAAATTAAAGGAAAAGTCTTCTATTAAATCTTTCAGCACATCAAGAAAATTTAGAAAATTTAGAATTTAGAAAATCCTCGTACCTCGGCGATGAGAAAAAACTTGGGAATAATCTGGGATTTTACGCTTATAAAGGACGCTATTCATGGTTAATTTCTCTGTTTTTTATCAAATTATGTTCAGTTCCAAATTATGGAAAATTGTAGAATTATTTAATTTTAGTACACTAACACTTGTTTGCATACAAGGGCTTCAATATCATGATATATTGTTTTTTAAAAATTCCTTGGCCCCATTGCTTGCATTCAACAGCAAAATTCTTTTTTTGCATATCGTAACTAGGAAAGCGGTAATTGGATTGAATAATTGCTGAAAATTTTCACGATACCCTTGAGAATAGCGCAAATAGTAAGCGACTTTATTTAAAATTTTCAACTAGGAGATAGTTTGGAGAACTTAGGAGAAAATATTTTTGACAGATAATCTTAATGGATAAAGATAGAAATTTCTGCAAAATTACCTTTACCAGCAACATTGGTTTCGGGAAAATTCTATAAATTAATCGATCTGTTTAACTAAAGATTTTGATTAAATTAAGTTCATCGG